ATTTTTTTTTTTTATTGTGGGATATTAAGTGTAATTTTTAATTCCAACAACTAAACTATTCATATATTGAATGACATCATTATAAATTATTACTTGTTGCGCTACATTAAAAAAGCATTTCTCAGAATACCATCAATGAGTGAATTAGTAACGTGCAGTGATTGTCTGACGCTGTTATAGAAACATGATTCACAAGACATTTGAAATAAACATGCAGGCTCATTGAAGACAGAAATATCACTGACAGAAAATGAGACAGTGATTGATGAGTCAGACAGCAGCTGAACATATCAATTCAAAATGTCTTACTGCATTTGTGAAAATGCCCTTCTGTCTGATGATTCTATATGATTCTGATGTCTGGCATATACATCAATATGCCCTTTCACAATATTACTACTGAATATAATTTATGAAATCTTGAATTACAGTCGTGTTGAATGCTGCGAGATGTCGAGATTTGAATGCAGCCCATCGACCGAGCGGCTCTGAATAATGCTGGGCAGAAACAGCATGTCCTTATCCTCAGCTACAGAACCTCCGTCATGGCTGAGTAGAAGAGAGCGCACGAGAGAGGACAGCAGAGAGCAATTGAGAGCTGCAGGATTATAAAATTAAGCTCAAAACTCGATTACGCTGATAGCATCAGTACACAGTGCTAACTAACACAACACTGTCCAGCGCACATGCTCCTCACACACACACAGCCCAAGTAAGCATGAGCAAAACCAATTTGAGAAGAATCAATGGCAAACTGGCACAATATCTGATTTCAACAAGCATGGCTAAGACTCTCTGAGCAGCAGGACCCATTACTGTCACTCAAACGGGATGTTCGGATGAAAAATGGGGTTTCCTGCTTTCTTGTGTAATTCATGCTGTGCTTCTAGATTTTTTTTATTTTTATTTTTTCAGTTTTGCCTAATTGAGTAGTTTTTAGTAGTTTGTGCAAATAATTTAAGGAATAGTTCACCTAAAAATTAAAATTTGCTGAAAATTTACTCACTCTCAGGCCATCGAAGATGTAGATGAGTTTCTCCAGATTTGGAGAAAGTTAGCATTACATCACTTGCTCACCAATAGATCCTCTCCATTATCTACAACTTTGTTATGATATGACAATATTTGGCCGAGATACAGCTATAGAAAATCTGGAATCTGAGGGTGCAAAAAAAATAAAATATTGAGAAAATCGTCTTTAAAGTTGTCCAAATGAAGTCCTTAGCAATGCATATTACTAATCAAAAATTAAGTTTTGATATATT